CATGGATTATAATTAAGTAGTACTGCAATTTACAAATATCTTTCATTAATTTCAGTCAAAGAGAAACTAACTGAGGATGCAGATTGTGAAATCGCAACCACAATGCTTAAAGTATCACTTAATTGCCCGTTGGGCAAGATGAAAATGTCCATACCATGTCGTGCATCAACTTGTTCGCATTTACAATGTTTTGATGCTAGTCTTTACCTGCAGATGAATGAGCGCAAGCCAACATGGAATTGCCCAGTGTGCGACAAGGCAGCCATTTATGATAACCTAGTCATTGATGGGTACGCGGCCATACTTGTCCAGCCATTATTAGCACAAGCGCCTTATTTTGTGATTGTTGTATTATTATTTTCTATTTGCAGCTATTTTCAAGAGGTTCTCGCCTCTTCACTTCTCAAACCCGATGACACTGAGATACAATTGCATAAAGACGGCTCTTGGAGCACACATAGTTTGCGGAATGAGGCTCAAATAATTGATACACCAACAAAGCCTGTAGAAAAGGTGGAAGTCATTTCGGATGATATTGGTACGAAAGTTGAAAATTATATTTGAAAAATTAGTGCACATTGATTAACCATTTGTTTTTCTTCCAGAAGTCATTACCACTGAGGATGTTAAAATGGTTAAATCTGCAGCACCACCTGCCGTAGCTAATGACCAACCAACATCAACAACCAATAGTGAAACGGTAGGTTTTAAATAAGAAGAAGCGGCAACCAATAAATGAGCACTGGGTGTTTCGAAAAATTTGCAAAAGGATTCGGAAATGTTTAATGCACGTCTCCATGCAACAGGCATTTCAAGTTGATTTCCTATTCATGTTTCTCGTGTCAAATTTAATGCGAAGAGGCAATCTTTGGCTGTTTTGGTTTTTTATAGTAACACATTTTGGAGACACCTTTTTGCCACATATATATATATTTGGCAACTTATGTATCCATATTACTAATTTAGTTTCCTCTAAAATCATTTTATGTAGGTCGATTTAACGCTCAGCGATTCCGATGATGATATGCCCCTAGCTAAACGACGTCCTGCCATTAAACAAAGTTCTGCCGCCAATGCCGCAAATTCTACGGTATCCACATCGAGCATTAATGGTAGCGGCAATGGCAATACTGCAGCAGGCAATGGTGGCACAAACTCAAATCAACGTAATGCTTTTGCACAGCAACGAACTGGTACGTTGGATGCTTATTCGTACTAAACAATAAATTGACCAGAACCAAGTAAAGTAATACATATAAATATATTGAAATAGTAGCTTAGATAGGATAGTAGTGCAGAGAAGGAAAAATCAAAAACAAAAACATTTAGGTTATACATACATAAATATGTATATTAACAAGATAAACATCTGAGTAGATTTTTAGAAACAAATACTTACATAATGCTTTTTAGGCATATTAAATAGTTGTTTATAAGTTAACTTGCAACACTGCTGCTCTATACGCGCTGTATTTTTTCCAACTCAATTGTCTTTTCTCAAATGTTTCTGTGAAGAGATGGATGTGTGCAGAAAAGTCACATACAGAAATCTCCAGTTTTATGGATTTTTTTTTTATGTATTTGTTACTATACTTTTAAAAACTTACCCATTTTTATATTGTATGGGAAATTAGATTTCGTGAGTGGAACTTCCGCTTTACCGTTATACTTTCAAATGTTACAGAATCGGAAATAACTGCAAGTAATATTAAACCTTGACTAAAAGTGAGCGGTAATAACATGAATAATAAAAAATAATAACAATTTTAGCTGCTATTCTCATGCAATATGCATGTATTTATGAAAACCTGAGTGAGCGAATGGTAAGTGGAGGCAGTTTGATTATCTTAAAAAGCTGAGAGGACTATGAAGCTAATTTCTCACTAGCCATTTGTAGTATTTGACTGAAATTACGTCTTCTGCTGCTTTCTATTTTCGCAGTGCAATCCGCACCCTGCTCAGGCATCCGAAAACTGGCAAGAGATGTAGAGGGTCCAAGTTTACCTAGCCCATCTCAGTATGCGAAAATGTTACACATAGGTAACGCAAAATACATCAATGTTCAATGTATATACAAATGAAACCTGTTTCCGACCGACTGCTCAGTCTAGTGTGCATTCGCATGGTGGATTGTTCAGGCCGACTGGGCAGTCCAGTGTGCAGGGATTTAATATTTACTATGTAAACGATTGTATAATTCATTTCATGTATTAATTAAATTGAATTTGACTTTCTGATAGGTTGTAATAATCTTTAACAACTTATTTAATTTTAAAAGCTAATGGACGCCCCATTTAAAAATGTCCTGCATGCTAATGCAAACTAAACATTTTCTTCTTGTAAAATTTTTTTCTGAATCCTTCCTGTCGTTTCCACGTGAAGAAGTAAAAGTTCTCTCACACGTAGCAATACCAGAAATTCGGTCTAATGTCAAATTTTTTAAGTGTTTACATGGCAAAGTCAAATACCCCTTTCTCCAGTTTTGAACAAATTGGATGGAAAAATGTCTGGTATTTAGGGATTGATAATATTGATTTCACATTTTTATACTTAACAATTGTTGCTGAGTTATCTTAAATGATTATTTAATAATTCTAAGGCTTCGTGAGATTTTAGAAAAAAGAAAAAAAATCACGGAGATGCATTTTCTGAACTTTTTCAAAAGCCTTTTCTAAAACCCCAGTGAAGTAGCTTTGGAACCAAAAACGATATTTTCAAATGCTGCATCCACTAGTTTCAAGAAGATTTCATACATAAGATCATAAACCATTGTACCAAACTCATCGCTTGAATTGTGAAATGAGGGAATGTATTTTAGAGTTCATTTCCACCAAGCCTTAACTGCAGTTAATGCTTATTGCAAAAATGAGATTACAACTCAAGGAGGAAACTGTTCACATTAAGTACAAACAATCGAAAACAAGAAAGTAAAAAGTAAGAGACAAAACTTTGCTGATCACCCCATGTTAACGTTCCTTAAATTTACCAGAGCTCTTAACTGCAGTTAAGCTCTTGGTGGAAATATGCTATTAATTTTGAAATGAAAATATAATACAACAATTATTTCGTCTAGCATGTTGATATACATATGTACATCTATATTAACGTTAACGTTATATATTCAAGTCACAATAAATTTGTTTTAATCCCTGTATAATCCCAAATTTTTCTATACCTTAATTCGAGCTTCCCTTTCTCACCACCACTTGCAGGTTAAATTACATTCTAACTTTAACACTTCCGCTGCAAGCTACTTTGCTACCTTCTCGTAGGCTGATCGCAACACACTTGCTTGATATGACACAATTTTGAAATTTGTAAAAATAATTTTTTGTGATTTTCTTCTCAAAAAATTGTTCCAAAAATAGCAAACACATAGTTCATCAAAATTGAATTGTTACAAAAAATTTTCCATTGCATTTGCAAATTTCGGTTCTAACGTAAAATTCCAAACCAATTCCAATACACGACGTCGCCATTACAGTCAGTAACGAGTTAGTTCAAACCTTAAATCAAGCAACCAATCAACAAACAAATCAATCAAGAAATTCTTGAAACTTGCCACTCTTTGTTCACGATCACTTGCTAAGTGCATTCAAGTGCAGCGTGTCACAAAGCGTGTGCATTCAGTCCGAGCAAACGCAACCACAGCCGCAACCATGTTGATCGCTTTTGAAAAGTTGCAGGGCCAACAGAAATATATTGAATCCTGCATCATAGTGTTAATTGGAGTATTTATGCATTTGAATCGCATTAGTATCATTGAATTGAAGTATTCGCGCATGCCACTGCTGACGCCAAACGTTGCATCCAGCTTATTTGTATTTTCTGTGCTTTGTATTCTGTCGAAATTGCGTCCATTGTGGCCGAGTGCTTTACGTAAACCACAACGCGCCTTAATTTTCTTCGTTGAATTGTCGCTGATATTATATGCCACCGACTTCCTCCTGCGTCAAGTATGGCTGCCTAGCTTGAAGCTGTTAAATTTTATTTGTCGCTTTCTCGCCCAATATGTGATCGTAGCTAATGAGGCCTTTCTGGCCAATAATGCGCCCACTTTATCGTCGTGGATACGTAACGATGCCTTTTATATGGCGCGTTTTATGCTCGCCGTAATTGCTTTCATCTTTATGATCGATGTAACCGGCATATTGGAGTTTGTATTGAATGTCGTGCGGCCAACTGAAAATACTACTGGTGGACCACATTACAGGAGGCGAGAGATTACACCGGATCGCATGACTGCATATAATTTTGAAGAACCCATGATGGACGACGATAACACTGAGCCCTTGCCAAATATCACAAGTAATTTACCGAACAGCTTTGCCGATTTCGAAGCACATGATTTCGATGTGCACGATCTGCCTTATGTACCGCAAGAAGACCTACTCAATTTGGGGCATCGTGTTGGTGCGCGAAGACGTCGTCAACCGATGCGGAAGGCGAAACGTAAAGTTTTAGTGAACGAAACGGAAACCGAATGCACATGTTGATTTTTAAGATGTGAGGATTTGAATTCATAAGTGGATTAATGGATCTATGTTTTTTGTCTTCAATATATAGTAATGTATGTAACAGAATCTCTCGACACACATATGTATGTAGGCGAGGATGTATGTATATATTTTTGTAGGAAAATTTTGAAAAACACTAAATACAAATGTAAAAAAGTTGTTGACGAAAGATGGAAAGTCCTTTTTTTTCTGGAATTTACGAAAATGCTATCACTGCTATCAAATGGTTTCGAACGTACCATACTAGATACACTAGTGGCAGAAATAATAGAAACGCATTTTTTGATCATTTCTGCCTTTTGTTTATTTAATGTTTAAGATGCTTTTGTAAGTTTAGCTCATTGAATAAACTGCATATAAATGTACATCTCTAACTTTGTACAAAAATTATAATCCAACAAATTTTCGCCAAAGCTTTGAACTTTTTTTTTCAAAATTTTTAGAAAAATTTAAGGATGAAGTGCAAGTTTCATGTGACCTAAAATTACCGTTGTTTTCTAATTTATTTTTTTCGTCGCTGTCGCTTTCATATAAAACAAACACCACTTATTATATGGAAGGAGGACAGAAAAATGCCGAAAAATAAACGATATAACTGCATACCTCAAATCCTAAAATAATAAAAAGTTTGAAGTAGTGTTTAATTTTTATAATATTTGTATAAACCTTGAAACTTTTTAATGAGCTAGACTTTTATTAAAATAGTGATATTTTTATATATTAAGCTCAAATTATCGTATAAACAAAAGAAATATAAAAACTGGTCGAAATAAGGTGTTTCTATTACTTCTGCCAGTATTGTATATGTACTTTAAATACACATACATATGCACATGAGTAGAAATTCGGATTCAGTAATCGCTTTTTCGTCCTAATCGGAAAGCTTGATTGCTCAGCAGAAAGAGCTTTTATTTGGAGAATTCTTCATGGAAAAAAAATATAATTTCAAAGCGAGAATATGCTACAAATCATCGCACTTCGTACGCTTTGCAGCTGAAACTCTCTTCTATCTGCTCTCACACACTGACACCTTTCGACCGAATCAAAGGAATATACTCAACATCATTTAAAGCCTTGCGCACACCAACGCGATAGCAATAGCGGTAGCGAAGGAAAGAAACAGGTTTTTTGATCGATTGATCGCAGCATGCTGCGAATGCAGAGTAATTTGTTCAACGGTGGATGAAATTTAAAAGTTAGTTGTAACAATGGACTACATATATCATGGAAAAATTAATTTTTTGTTTGAAAAATCATCTAAGTTTAAGTTGGATTTCCACTAGGCATTTAATGGCAAAAATTGCAAAATCGGGCATTAAAAAATAAAGGTGTCATTACGTTAAAAAAGTAATCATCAAATCAAGTTCATTTTCACGTGACATTTTTTTAAATGGCATACATTTTTTGTAATTTCAATGCCAAGTGGAAATGCGGCATTATATGATTTAATTGAAAAAAAAACTTTAAAAATCTCAGAGAGAAAGAAAAACTAGGATTTTATATACGCAAACGCGTTCCACAAGTAAGTTTTAGAGTTTATACGCTCACAGTTTGAACTTTGCTAGAGTTTTTCTACAAGTAGCTTGTGGAACAAACCTAATATGGAATGAAATTGGAATTGAGCTCCACGAAAGTGCCCAAGTGCCAAACATTTATTTATATACGGTATTGGCCAA